AAAAAATTCCGAATCAATTGAATCGTTCGTGTAACGATCTACAAACTCGGGGCATACTCGGGACGGTCCTACCTGTTGGCATACTCGGGACGGTCCTACCTGTTACCTGTTCCTCGAATTATATCCAAGAACGAATTGTTAAATCTCCGATTTCGACCGATTTATAGATTCAAACCCCGTAACTTATCCATTCGATTCGGTTATCGGAATATTATATAATAAATCACATGAGTGATACGTATGTACGTAGCTTAAATATTCAATTACAATTGTAATATTAAGTTGCCGAAAAAAATATTTTCAATAGTTTCTACGCCATGTCTCTCATATACTATTCCAAATTTGATAGTAAAAATTGCCCGCCACAAAAAATCGTGTGATTGAATTTGTTACATGAAAATATTGCTATTTGATTGGTCGATATTGGTTCTTAATGAAAAGATAAATACGTACTTGCGTATCGGGTATGTATTAACTTTGTAAGACGAAAAGAAATCTATTTACTATATACTCTCGGTCACAATCGTTTGAATTTTAGAGTTATAATAGTAGACGGCTTTCTCGTCATAGATAACAATCATTTTTTTGATGTCGACGTTCTAGACTATAAAAGTTTAGCCTCTTCCAAAAACCAACATGACAACTGAGAGAACGCCTAATAACGACGAACAATCTACTTTACTGGCGTTCTCCGATGTTATTCCCTCAATTACTCCAGAAGAAAGTCCGCATGATTTGGAACCCGAAACCGAATCACCTAAAATTTTGCAAGAGACTTTAAATGCAAACCCTTCATTAGTTTTAGAAAATTCCATAAAAATAATTTCTGAAAATTTCACATGGAGAACTTTTTCGGAAAAAATGGAACCCGCCTTTAAAGCTTTTAGAGCAATTTTTTCAAAAATACCGCCGATTCATTTAATTCTGTATCTACTTACAATCTTTACTTGGAATCATTTACAAAGATCACACTTAATATTATTAGTACTTGGATGCTTACTTGGTTACATGCTTCAGAATAATTCGGCTGCATATAGCCGGCAAAAAAATTTCTTGTACCAAGAACCGTATATACAGCAAGATATAGAGAGTTCCTTGCAGGTACTTATTTACAATCTATGTTATCTAATCATTTGCTAGTTTTCATTATATGCTAACATTACTCCAATGACTAAGGCTATCAAGAGTGCCGAAAAAGTAACTTCAACAGAACTTTCGATAACGCCTCGAGTAGACGAGGCACTAAATAAGACATTTGATTTTATTCTTCGAGATTTAGTTAATTCTTTTTATGACCCGATAAATCCAAATAAAAATCCAGAATTTTCCAACCAAGTACGAAATGCTATGAATATAATGTCAATGAACTTGGCTTTGTGCCTTGAGAACATAGATAAAGTAGAAATAGGCATTATGTCAAGCTTTGCAATTGCAAACACATTTATTATCCATCTGGTATGTATATTATTGTGTAAGTCAATAATTGACCTGGACTTTATTATCATTAAATAATATTTTGCTAAGAAAAGTTTTATTTATTTTATTTTTTTTATTAATAGCGCGAATATAGAAAGTTTATTGCAACTAATAAATCTTTAGAAGTTTATTGCGTGCAAAATCAATCTTCACCATTTGTATATACTATAAACAAAGAATCTCAAGTACAGACTCTTTGTTGCTTGTCAAAATTAATATTGATACGTCTTTTACCTTCAGATGAAATTAAAAGTCATATTCTGATGGCATTTCTTACTGAACTATGGACAACGCAAGTTTTGGGAACTGCGCTTGAAATGGTGTGTGACCCAGATTGGTTAAATCGGACTATTGTTGAGTATTTGACAGATAAAGATGATGAAACTCATGATACCACCTTACTTCAACAACTAGCAACTTCAATTGATGAGGAAGTTGCTGGTCTATCCAACCAATTAAACCAACCTTCCTCTGATATCAAAGTACCAGTGTTGAACGTTCAATCAAAAACATCATCACCTATATCATATCAGTCAAATTCGTCACTTGACGCTAGCATTGAAGCGTTCAAGGGGCAAAAAAATTCATTAGTCGAGTCTCTTACGGAGATTCCTTCAGACACTACAATTAAGTCTTCCTCTGATAACAAAGTATCGGTATTGAATGTTCAATCGATAACATCGTCACCTATATCATATCAATCAAATTCGTCACTTGATGCTAGCATTGAAACTTTCAAAGAGCAAAAAAATTCATCAGTTGAGTCTCCCTCAGAGATTCCTTCAAGCACTACAATTCAGTCTTCCTCTGATAGCCAATCACAAGTATTGAATGTTCAATCGATAACATCATCATCATCTATATCATATCAGTCAAATTCGTCACTTGATGCTAGCATTGAAAATTTCAAGGAGCAAAACAATTCATTAGTTGAGTCAATTATAGAGATTCCTTCATGTGCTACAAGCCAATCTTCCGCTGATGACAAAGAACCAATGTTGAACGATCAATCACTACTATCATCACCTCAATCATCACAAACAAATTTACTTGATTCTAATCCTGAAACTTTTAAAGAGCAAAAAAGCTCAATTGAAATACCTACAGAAACCCTTCCGAATGTTACAATTGAAGATTTCACCGACTCCCCAAATTACTCTCCATCTCGACCGTTCATGCGTTCTGTGAATTCAGATAAGTTACGAATTATTCTTGAACGTCAGAATGAAGTTTTTGTTGAATTTATGGCATTTTTGGAAGAACGCAAAGCCGCAAATTTACTTCGATTTTGGCTCCAAGTTGACTCTTTCAGAAAAATTGCATCCGATGAACCAAATATAAATTTGGTACAAGAAGATGCATTGAAAATTTTTAATACTTATTTTGGAGATTCTGCTACGTACCCTGTAAAAATATCGATCGAAATGATAATCAACCAATGTACACGAGAGATATATAATGCACCTACATGTAATTGCTTTGTAACTTTGCAAGAATATATCTTTGGTGTGTTGGAAAGTGAATATTTTGATGACTTTCTTCTGGTTATGGAAACCCAAGGTGAAGATATAAATTTTATGTTTGTAGAGGAATCTAAACAGATAGCACAATCGAACAATGATTCTAGATCTGCTTCGGAAATATCAATAGAGGGAAAATTTTTTAAACGACATAATACAACGGGTAGCTTATCCCCTATTTCAAACAACTCGGAATGCTTGGATTATTCATCAAGCTATGATAAACAATCGAACGGTTTGTTGGCAAGCGCAACATATCGTTCCAGATCATATTCAGCTGGAAGCTTGGTTGATGCATTGAATAATTTTACATCTTCACTTAGGAAGAGAAATTCTTATGCATCTACAGATGAAATGACTGATAGTGATTCTGAATCACCCCCAATAATACCTAAGATTGATCTTAACGGAGTGAGAATTAGGTTGACGGATGTGTCTGAATCATCACCAAAAAAGTATATTTACTCAACAAAGTCTCTTTCTTATATGATAGAGGTAGAACGACCTGGTTCCACTGGATGGATAATAACGCGAAATTTTAGTGACTTTGAGAAAATGCATTCCACTTTAACAAAAGATTTTCCTAAAGCCGAGAAAGTCGTTATGCCACGCTTAATGTTAAAAAAAAGCCAAACAGCCTGTAAGTCTTTAGAACGATATTTGAACATTTTATTGAGTGACTTAACATTATGTGAGAGTGAACCACTTCAAAAATTTATGAGGAGAGATGGTATTCAAAATGAAGGATTGGCGAAGTCCGTTGATAAAAATGGTATTGTAAATTCAACAGTAACGGTTCCAAAATCTATATCAATGGTCAATATTGTAAATTCTGGTACGCAAGATGCTATTAATGATAAAGTAAATATTCCAAAACAAGTTGGTTCAGAGGTGTCTTTATCACCGAAAAGGAACAGTTCTCTTCATGAACATTTAAATATTTCTCAAAATATACTTACAGAAGTGATCCAAGAAATGTCTGAGGAAGCCTCTATCAAGGATACGTCTACTCAAATGTTTTCTAATGTCGTGAGTCCTAGTGTTGAAAGCACCCTTTCAACATCTTGGGATTCCAGCAAGGCCGTTGTAACAACATCATCCAATGAAAATGACACTTCTAATATTATAAGTAATAATATAAAGCCCAATAAAGAGCCTATTTTGGAAGGGCTTAATACCCATTGTAATGTTAGTGCATCAAACTCTTTAAAATCATCCCAAATTCCCTTAATTGGACCACCACCAACTCCTAAAAAAAGAACTCGGCCGAATAAGCAAATTACCGGTCATAATGCAGACCTGCTTATTGATACTATGTTTGCTATGATTGAAGAAATATTTGATTTATCAGATAAATCTCAATGGCATATTAGAAAAACAGTTCTTTCTGTTTTACGAGGAGTTGTGCGGAAATCATATACAGAAGCAATCAAACAGTCATATTTATTGACGATCAATTCACTTTTCACTGAAGAATATGCGGTGTCAATTATTGATAATTTAAACAATTCGCTTTGGCCGGATGGCATCTTAGCGGATATAACTCAGCAACGAAGTGAAGAAGAAAAGTTGCAAACCAAAGAGGAGGTTAAGCGATTACTTTTACAAAAAGTTATACCTGATTCGTTAAAACAGGTAATGGGCCATGAAAATTCTAAAATTATGATTGGAAGGTTGGTTGATGGATTTTTGGCAGAGAAAGAAGTATTAAGAGGAATGGGTATTAATATTTTAGAAAGTGTTGTTAAACTTATTATAAATGACTGATATTTTTAGATATGATAATAATTAATTTTTTTACTTTGTAGATATATGTCCTTTTATGATTTATTTACTATATATTCTCCTTGTATTATTATAATTTTGTATTTTTTTATTTTTAATTTTAGGATCTAATAATAAGATTATCTTATTTCATTTTGCTAAATTTTTAATTTTAAACACGTATATATTTGTTAAAGTTCTTATTTCACAAGATTGATTAACATTTATTTTCAAATTTTGTTTTGATTTACAGTAATGCCAAATTAATTGAATATTGCACTTTGCTATAATCAAGCTTGTTTAATGAACATTATAAATAAATATTTTGTATAAATGAATACAAAATCTAAAATCCAAATTGATTATTGAGATTTTTATCGTTATAGTGAATTCGTAATTATAGTTTAAATCTCTATGTCGAACATGCGTAGAGACTTGGTATAACAAATTCACTAATAGTGATTGTGCATGCGATTAAGTACACCATTTCTAGTTCATGAGGCCGTTACATTTAAAATTATCTTTAAATGCACGTGAGAATGTCATAAAAAGAATTCACATTTAAACCTAGAGACCCGGAATAATAACACTGTAATTTATTTAAAATTCTGCTTGACCCTTATAAATCATAGTGATTATATATATAACTGTATTAGCGGTATAATAGTGAAAATGTAAATAAGACCTCTATTGCTATGTAGAGATTAGGGATATTATCCTGTTCCAATTGGTTAATTTATGTTTAAAAACTCGTTGGAACACTGTTTCAAACCATATACGTGAAACTGGTTATCGAACTCAGTTTATACAAATATTAATAATTGTTTGCTTAAACAAGTTAATAAAACCTGCTTTGTTATCGCTATTTAAAAGAGTAAATCTACGTATGGATTTTACATTTGTAAAATATACATATATTTGTTACTCCAATTACTATTACTTATTTATTGACCTGCACAATAATACGTACGTACCTAATTTATTAACCTTCAATAATACCTGATTCATATCATGTTTTTAAGCAAAGGCTTACAAAAGCATTTTCTTCAGATAATCGATTACAAATTGGATTAATCATATTTTTTGCTTTAGAAACCCGACTTAATAGTGGAAGGTCCGTATCCAATGAATAAGATTTATTGCAATATTTGCTTTTCACTTAGCAGTGGTTTTATTAAATTCATCCCAAAAGGGATCCGAATTTATTCATTTTGAAGGGTGGTTGGTTATTTCCGAAAATGCTTCGATTCAAGTGTATTTGAGAAGTCGAAGGGGTAAGTTCAATGAGGTTAATAAAAAAAAACGCTTGTTTATATTAAAAAAAATAAAAAGAAAAAAATGTCTAATTGTCGTCATATCAACGTAATGCCATAATAATTAACCAATCGAGAGGAGTTATGTTTCGTCAATGATGGTAGTGTTACACCCGAAACTACCTCTTATGAGTTCGGTATAACAGTTCACTATAGCGACGGGTATGTTAGTCGATTGTTAATCTAGTACCGATTTATGCTAAGTAAATAGAGGGTTTATTGCAGTTACGCGTTTAAGAGGATTATGTGATTTGCTATTATGAAAGAGGCAAACGGCTAAATGTATATGAAGATACAAGTAGTCGTGTTAACAAGTTTATTATGATACTCAAGTTTATTCGTGTATGGAGACACTATAACAGGGTTAAGGTTTGTTCGGGTTATTTGTGTATGAAGACACTATAACCGATCTACTATTTTATTCGAGTTATCTGTGTATGAAGACACGATTATTCGTTAGGGAATGGTTATTTGTATGATTAATTCAATAAAGTATTCGAGTTGTTCGTGTATGAAGACACGACTACTCTTTATTTATTGTCAAGTTGTTGGAACTTCGAGTTCTGTTCTCTTACATGAGAAATATCTAAGGCTATTTATACTTTTAGACTTTCGATCCTTGTTACTATTTTTATAAATTACATTTCTTGTTTGAACCACTAAATCTAAGAGGACCACTATCGCTACTAGCGCTACTTAGCGCTACTAGTGAGTGATATTTAGCACTACTAGCGCTACTTAGCGCTATTGCAGTATGCTTTGCATTGGTGTTACTTTGTGGTTATTTCATCACATGATGCTAATTACAGGGGTTAACAGTAGTAATTAAAAGTCTTAAATCAAGCATATTGCGATGTCAAACTAGATTTGAGCATAGTGTTTAAATAACGTAATAAAAATCATATGTAAAAGAATAAAATGGCAAATATGTAACAAGAAAGATAAATCACCAAGCATATAAAGCCTAGTTTAGAATTAGATTAGAGCAAAAGACTTTAAGAATAAAGAAGAAATCAACAAAAACAGTATAACAAAGCAATATTGAAGTTACTAGTACAACAATTTAAGAATCTATTGAAACTTTTGCAACAAAGCAGCATAAAAAATTAAAAAAAGAAAAGAGAAGAATGCAAGTTCAACAAAAAAATAAAATCATAGAAAAGAAACAATAACAAAAAATTAAAAAACAAGATATTAAAGATTTTACAAAAAAAAAATTCTAAACAAGATTTTAGAAGAAGCAAGACTAAAAATTTTGATAACAACTCCAAAAGAAGATAGAAGTTCTAACAATAATCAAATCAAAAATTTATAGAAGAATATAATAGATTAGATTATAGAAATTATATATTAAGCAAGTAATGAAAATATACAGATTAATACTAAAAATTAAAAAGAAAAGAAAAAGATCTACTATAGTGCGCGACATTTAAAGACTACACAAACTTTAAAAACCAATAACTTTTGATCTAAAAAAGATATTTTAAAAAAGAAGCCACTATTTTGTAGCTAAATCAATTTATTATAACTT